CTTGAATGCTTTGCCTGAGGAAAAATGGAGTTAATTAGAAGAAGTAAAAGTTGATGGAGACATTCAAAGATTTGGAGATACTCCCAAGGGCATCACAAATAGAAAGGGATCAACGTGTGTGTTCTATCTTGACAGAATTGTGCATAGCTGGTCCTGTTACTCAACTTAAATCTCATGGTGGCTGCTTCTTGCTTCTAGAAGCAGTAGCCAGGATTAACAGTGGAGACTTGGTACCAGCCCAACCCTGGCTTTCAGTCCCACCTCAGTTCCTCTATGATGGTAGCCAAGTTACTTTTACTCTGCCTTTTCTTCATTCCGAAGAGTCCTGGCTTGTAGAGTGGTTATGAATGTGTGTCAGTCAGCTTCCTGTGAATGTAATAAACACATAAGATGATTAACTAATAAATAGAAAAGGGTCATTTTGGCTCATAGCTTTGGAGGTTTCAGCCCCTGATCCAATGGCCCCAATGCATTTTGTTTTGTGGTGAGGTGGAGAATGGGAGAGGGGGGAGCCTGGGGTAGAACAAAGCCCTTCACCTGGAGACAGTGAACAAGTGGAAGAAGAATAGACACTGTGGTCTTGATATCTCTTTAAAGATCACAGTTTTAATGTCTGGAAGACCTTCCTTAGGCTTCACCACCTAAGGTCCTGCCATCTTCCAAGAGCACCACCCTGGGGAGCAAGCCTTTAACCTATGTCATATCTGTAAGGACAATAGTCACGATGCGATAGGGCAGTGACAGCCATTGCTGTTCTTGGCATTTACTGTTAGAGTGTAGAATGGGGTCCTGGACACTAAATGGGGCCTGGGTTCCTGGAGGAAGGGGCACAGAATGCTTGTTCTTGTTGCTGTACCCCAGCTTTCCCACCATTACTATGGTTAGCATCAGCAGCTCTATTTGTTGAATCAGAATTACAGAGATAGTACACATGGAGGTAGGTCTATAGTCCCTGTTACTCAGGATGCTGAGTCAGGAGAATCTTAAGTTCAAGGCTAGCTTGGGCAACTTAGGAACCCCCTGAGTCAAATGTAGTTTTTCAGTGTTTGGCTGATATCTCTGGGAGGCCTGCTCTTTTCTGAAGGGAAATGCAGGGACAGTCGATCTGGAGGAGAGGAATGGTGTGTGGCAGGGGAAGGCCGGAAGGAGTGGAAGGAGGGGAAACTACGGTTAGGATGTGATATGTGAGAGAATAAATAAAAAGAGAAATATTTGAAAAGACAAGGGGCAGGGACTGAGTAGTTATTTCAGTGGTAGAGTACTTGCCTAGCATCCCCAAGTCAAAAGAGAAAGGAGGGGCGAGATGAGGGACAAGGAAGTGGGAGAGGAAGAGGTGCGCGCAGTCACGGTAGACATTGGTTGGGAAACCCTCAAACACATTTTGCAGAGGCCTGTGGAACAGAAGGATGATGTTCGGCTGTGCTTGGTACTCTTCAACTAGATAATTTTTCTAGTGACATTGGGAACAGGTGAGGAAAATTAGATCCCACACGTGTCACACGTGTACCCATATATTTGGGCTCCTCATCCTTAGCCCTGTTGACACTTTGAGTCGGCTCATTCCATGTCATGAGGTCTGACCTGTGCATTGTGGAGTCCAGTGGTACTACCGTTTGTGACACGCAAAGGTATCTGTGATCACTTGGGGTCCAGGCAGAGGGTTCACCTTCGTTAAGATGCACCGGCCTGAGGACTGGTGACCCATGTAAAGTGAGTAGCTTTGTGAACACAGGAAATATTCAGCATCAGCATGATTGCTCCCCCATCTGTATGTGTGCTTGTGGCAGGGTCTGTCCCCGTTAAGATGAGTGCTAGATCTAAACAGGAAAGGTGGCCCACAGGCTCCCCCGTGTTTGGACATGTGCTGTGCAGCCTTGAGGAGTGGGCCTGGCTAGTGGACATAGGCCACTAGAGGCCCCAGCGTTTGAGCACTATGCTCCTGGCCCACCAAGTCCTAAGTAAGACATGCTGCAAGCTCCCAGGCCATGGGCTAAACCATACTCACTACCACACTTTCTCTGCCATGATGGACTGTGGTCCCCTGAAACTGTGAGCCAAGGTAGATCCTTCTTCCTCTAAAGTGTTTCTGTCAAGCACATGGTTACAGCAATGAGAAGAGCAATCCATACAGTGAGGAAACCAAGGCCATGCCAGTTCTGGGCAGACTTCTGGGTGTATCCAGAGCCCATGTCCTGGCGAGTCAGCTGGGCCACCAGCCTGTCGCAACTCCAGCAGCAGTCCTAGCTCAGCTTGCAGAATCAGTTGATGAGGCCAACCTCTGAAGCGCCCACAGTCAGGAAAGAGCTTTTCTGCACTGAAATACACACTTCTAATCTGCCAATGCATGAGACCAGACTGATGGCACAAGTGAGGACCAAGGACTCCATTAAACAATGCCACTACCCCTCCTCCATCCACAGGGTGACCGTGGTGCCAGGAGGGGCCCAGCTTCTGAACCACAGCAGATGATGTGATGCAATTTGTTTTGACATCGTTCCCATGCCTCCACGTGTGGTACGTTGACCTGACCCGTTACCACGAGCCCCACCACTCTCTTCATGAGCTCACTGAGGGACAAGAGTCGGCAGAGCACAGCTGCTGTACAGTGAGGCCATCTCTCCCGGTGCACAGCCCGAGCTTACCCCACAGAATCCACACTGCCATAGCTGGTCTGCCTCCCCCACCCTCTCCTACCCCCTCTGCACTGTTGTCCTTATCACAAGAAACTCTCAAGGGACAATGTGGTTTGATAGAGTGAGAAATTGCTGTCTCAGCCACTTACAATACCAACACTTCATTAAAGACCCAGAGATGTCCTGCAGCGAGAAACCCTGTCTAACCCTTTAAACACAAGCAAACCTAATCTGTGTCATTGCAAAGCCTTGTCCAGCTAGGCAGCCCCAACCAGCCAGCAGTCAGGTGCTTGGACACGTTCTCATCTCCCACACATTCCAGTTCAGCCCCGTGATAACAGTTTCAACAGAAAAGGCATAATAGGTCTAGAATGCTCCTGGACCTGCCACACAAACACTTCCCCCCACAATGCTTCAGTCACGTCCCCATCCCATAGATCGATAAGCAGGGCAGTCTCCGATGGGATAAAGGAAGAGTTGTGCAGAGCCACAGACAGGAGGAGTCTGGAACCTTCCCTGACATTTTTGTGGAACTGTGATGTGAGCCACTGATGTGTTGTGTGTGAATGTGAAATGACCCTGGTAGCCGTGATTTGAACTCTGCGTCCCCAGCTGGTTTTGGAAGGCCAATGAGCCATTGGGCCATTGAGAGGTGGAGCCTCCCTGAAGAGGGTCCCGGCAGGAAGGGGTTGAGCCTTGAGCTTTTATAGCCTGGCTCCACTTCCTGTTAGCTCCGTTTCCTGACTGCGGCTTCAATGAGACCAGTGCCTCAAGCTCCGTACCTCCACACCTCCCTTGTCATGGTGGACTTTGTCCCTTCAAAGAGTGAAGCAGAATAAGTCCTTCTTGCCTCGTTGCTCTGATTCTGGCATTTAGCCACAGCAGCAATAGAAATCACACATGCAGGGCAAAAGGATTTTATCACAGCCACATCTACTCATTTCACATGTTGAAAACCTTACCCTCAGTGTGGCTGTACTTGGAGGCGGAGCTACTGGCAAAGCTTGGGTTTGCGTCTCACAGTTTCTGCGGCCTAAAATAAAAAGGTTTCTGAATGGAAATCTCTGGTTTGCTTGGGCCCTGTGCCACTTCAGACCAACCGGCTGTGGGTAAGGCAGGACAGGTAGCAGTAGGGCCTAAGGTCTGTGGGGCTGCCATGCAGGTGATAAGAACCTACCCCAGTGAGGTGTCTCATCTGGGCTGGCAATTCACAGGAAGGGTCTTTTGGCAAGCGTCTGCTGAGCAGAGTTAATGTGTGTACTGTACGAGCCCAGTGCCGCCCTCCAGCTGCCCTGGTAGGGTTGCACACTGGTGACTCAGGGCAGCTATGAGCGTGCGGTCAAGCTGGGCTCCCGGTGGCTCTCAGGACAATCTGTTTTGTGCCTCCCTCGCAGCCTCTGCTGGCTTTCGTGACTCCTGACTCTTGGTGGTCTTAGTCCTGGGAACCCATCAATTCTCACCTCTCCACCTGTGTGTGCAGGGCACGTTCTCTCCAGCACCTGTGTGTCTCAGGTCCCTCCTTACCCACCCCCCCACCCACCCACGCCAGCTTTCTCATCAGTTACCAGTCATTGGTTTAGAACCCGCATGGGAGATAAATGATAATTGCATCGAATCACCCTGAATTTCCTCTCACCCACCACCCACACTTAGTGATCCCAGACAGTTTGTCACAAGTGGGGGAGGGATAATGTTACTATACTCCAGGGGAAGAGGCCAGAGGTATGGCCACACATCCCACTGTGCACAGGACAGACCTCCACGACATGGAATGATCCAGCTCAAAATGTCAAGACGGCTGGGAATGGGGAGCCCTGGCTAAGGATGTGGAGGCCTGTCTAACAGGGACACTTAGTGGATATAATTTGCTTCAGTTTCCCCCCCACTTCACTTCATCTAATCTCATCTGCAAGCATTTTATTTCCCTGTCAGGCCACATTCACAGGCACCTGAAAGCAGGACTTAGACATAGTAAGAAACACTAGGGGCCAGCGAGGTGGCTCAGAGGGGGAAAAGCCACCTGAAACCAAGCCTTGGGACATGAGTTTGATCCCTGGGACCCTCATGGTGAGAAGGAGAGAACTAACCCCGGAAAGTTATCCTCTGACCTCCATATGGGAACCATAACATGCGTGTGCCCTCCCCCATTTAAACATATACATGGAACAAAATGTGTTCTTTATGGAAGCCCTGGGCACCCACACATTCTCGCCCCAGCTCCCTTCTGCAGGCTAAGGCTGGCTTCCTGTGCCCTCATACGAAAAGGCATTAGAATAGCCCAAGGTTGGTTTTCATTTTTCTGGTTTTTAAAAGTTTTCAAGGTAACATTTGTTGATCTTTCTAAAATCATTCTGCACCACACATGTATGCTGGCAATTACAAATTTAATGCAGAAAGGACAAGGGTTAGGAAAAGAAAAGCCTTCATCTTCCTTAGGAAATTCTTTTCTGGACACCACTCTCATGAATTTCTCATTCCTTTCTGAGTCCCCAGGGAGGACATGACCACCCAGTCCCTCTGGACTTACACCACCTGGCTCCTTGGCCAAAGTTGATCAGTCCACACTACATACATGGCCCAATCATGCTCTCCTTCAGACCGTCCTGTCCCTAACTGGGCTGGTCTTCTCCTGGAGATGGCATTTTATCTGGGGCTGAGGATAGCCGCTGACCCATGCTGTGAAGAAGGAGAAGAACAAGACAGAGGGAAGCTAGAAGGCAAGACTCGTGCTTCTACTCCCTGTGTCCTGAGAGGATCACGGGGTAGACAGATTGCTCACATTCTATCACATGGTGCCCCTGCGCCACGTGTCAAGTTTCCTTCATCTGAAAACTGTCAGGTTGCAGTGGAGAACCCAGCTGGTTATCGTCCTCGTCAGTCTTGAGCCTCCTCCATAGTCCTGTGGTCAGCACTTAGCCTCCTGGGACTTCCATTTCCTCATTTATAAAACACGAACAGTAATAACTGCTGCACAGGGTTAAATTCGATATAACTCTGGAAGCAGAGAAAAATTATCAAGTATCATGTATTACCCCTCTTTTGGTAGACTATAACTTACTTAAGAGCAAATACCATTTAAATATATATATGTATGCATATATATAATTTTTAAATTTCTAAAGCTTAGTTCAAGACTTGGCACATGCTAGAGTGTCGGAGAGATACTTGATGAGTTCCTGCCATCCATGCTCATTGAGGTCAAAGGACAGCTTCAAGTGTGGTTCGTCACCTTCAACCTTGTTGGAGGCAGGGTCTTTTTGTTGGTAGTTGTGCCTGTACCAGACTAGATGACCCAGGAACTCACTTTAGGAGCACCAAAACTGCAGACATACATTGTTGTGTCCGGCTTTTACATGAGCTCTGGTGATTCATACTCAGATCCCTATGGGTTACATGGCAAACAATTTATTCACTGAGCTGTCTCCTCAGCCGAGATATCAGCTCCTTTCATTTCCTCCAACCCGTGAGGAAACCAAGGCTTAAGGGGGCTCTTCGCCCCTCAGAGCCACAAGGCTTGTGGTAGCAGCAGGTTTGCAGTCTGCTGTCTCTACCCTGAGAGCTTCCACAGCAGTTAACACACCAGACTGGCCACAAGTAGGCTTCAGGGCTCAGTAGCTGCTCTGTGAATCTGGAAGGCATTGGCAAAGCTGAAGCTCTTGGCAGGGCATTTGGGCAGCTGGGGAGCAGCAGCAGGCTGAGCCTCCTGCCTGCCCTACATCTGCTCCGTGAAAGCCCCTGGAGCTGGAGCTGATGTGGAAACCAGGGACGGGACAGGAGCTTGACACTTCACCTGCTTAGCATGCAAGCCCTCCTTTGCAGCAAGGCCTGGTGACAGGAACCTCCCACGGACAGGCTGATACCTCCTGCTCACCCAGTTTAATCAGGTGGAGCTGCCAAGGTCCATCACAATCACCGACAGATGCCACGTGGAGCAGACCCCACCTGCACATGCTCCAGCCTCTGTCCCCCACTCCACCTGAGATTCCAGGGGCCATCTCTTCACTCACTGCTGCTTTTGTTTCAATTAAAGCAGATGATTCAGCCACGTGGCAAAACTCTCAAACAGCAGCAGAATATATAGACAGATATAGATGCAGATCTAGCCCCAAATCTCCTTTTGCCTCCCAGCTCTCCACAGCCACCTCCCTGAAAGCTGGCCACCTCCCTGAAAGCGTCACCATTTTCAGTCTCCTGTTAGCCTTCCAGAAATATTTTATGCATACCCAAGTCTAGGAATCTATTTTAAAAACACAGGCACACATTTTTTTCTCTAGTTAGTAAGACATTTTGGGACCCTCTCATTGTCACTCAGTGGAGAGCTGTTAGATGTTTCCTGTGGCATCCCAGGATTGTATGACATCGTTCTGTTACTGTATGGAAGAGGGCCCACCCATTTATCCTTATACACTGTGCCTTCCTGAGTACTTCAGGTCATCTGACTTTGCTTCAGGGGCAGGGAATTGCATAGAAAGTCAAATCCTGGCAGTAGAATTGCTGGGTCAAATTTTAAGTTTAATTTTAATTTCAATTTCAATAAATGTCACTTACCATTTAAAATTATGTGGATTACTAGGACAGTCCCTTCTTGCTCAGTTTCTGGGCGTGGGTTATCCAACTGTGTCTTTGAGAGTCTGAACATTCCCTTAGCTCCTGCGGTGTGCCCTCCTCCAGGCAGATCCCTACCCATGAGTTATAAATCAGAATTATGAGGCTGGCTGCCAAAAGCATTTTAAGAAAAAAATCTTGTGGATAATATGAATAATGCATGCTCATATAAGTGATTGAAGCAAGTGCCCAAAAATGAAGAGAATTTTTATGGCATTAGATTAAGTGAAAAATGTGGGATGCACAAACGAAACTATATTTCTGTGTTTTGTTGTTTTGTGGGGTTGCTTTTGTTTTTGTCTTTTTCTTTGTTTACGGGTGCTTATGTGTTGGTACATGTGTGTGCGTGTCTATGCCAGCATTGTGCACATGCATGCACAAGTACTTGGAGACCAGAAATCAAATTAAGTGCTTTTATTTAGTGTGCATGGGGGAGGGGTGCTGGTCATATGCTTATCTATCCAGTACACACGCCCATGTAGAGTCCAGAGGAGGATGCCTGGTGCCTTCTGTCATTCTCCGTCTTATTCCCTTGAGACAAAGTCTCTCACTAACCCTGAACTTGTGGATTTGGGGCTAGACTTGGTGGTGGTAAGTGAGTGCTAGTAATACTCCTGTGTCTGTGACTCTCTCCCTGCCCCAGTACCAGGTCACAGGTGCAAAAATCCATGCTCAGTTTTTACTGGGTGCTGGAGATTTGAACTCAAGTCCTTATGCTTTCATAGAAAGCAATTCTACCCACTGAGCCATCTCCCCAGCCCCCACCTTGTTTGTTGAGGCAGAATCTCTCTTTGGCCTGGTACTTACCAACTAAGCCAGGCTGGCTGGCCAGCAGGTCACAGTGTTCTCCCTGTTGTCGTCGTCTTCTTCTTCTTTTTCTTCCTCCTCCTCTTCTTCTTCCTCCTCTTCCTTGTTCTTCTTCTTCCTCCTCTTCCTTGTTCTCCTCCTCCTCCTCCTCCTCCTCCTCCTCCTCCTTCTCCTCCTCCTCCTCAAGCTTAGGTCCTCACACTTTGAAGGCAAACACTCTGCTGACTAAGCTATCTCTCCAGCCCCAAGCTCTATATTTTTAGTAAGCTCACCAAGTCTAATGATTTGAGTCAAAAATGTCCCCACAAGCTCATGTTTTTCATGCTTGTCTCTCAATGGCATTGATATCTAAGGGGCCTTTAGGATGTGGGGCCTACCTGGCAGAAGTGGGGTGGGCCTTTAAAGATTATAACCCACTCTGGTTCCTTCCTTGCTCCATGCTTCCTGGCCTACTACTGTAAGCTAGCTTCCATCACATGCTCCTACCACCATGGCCCCCACCATGACTTCCTTCTATTATAATGGGCCACCATCACCACACCCACCTCCTACCCTGGAACCATGAGCCAAAATGCCCTTTCTTCCCTTGTTTCTGTGAGGTCTCTACAACACAAACAAAACTAAGACATTGGGAGGCTCAGGCAGCCATGAGACTGGTAAACTCCTAGACTCCCATTGTGATGGAAGAGCAAGAGATAACCCAGCAGTGGGACCTGAGTACAGAGACTCTTGAGGGGGAATTTTCTTTGTTTTCCATATTTTTCTGCCCGGAAACTTCGATGGTTAGAAAATAAATAGATGCTTTAAAAGGTTTTAGAGCCTCTCTCCCTCCCTCACTCACTCTCTTCCTCCCTCTCTCTCTCTCCCTCCCTCCCTTCCTCACTCTCTTCCTCCCTTCTTCCCTCCTCCCTCTCTTCCTCCCTCTGTTTCCCTCCCACCCTCTCTTCCTCCCTCCCTCCCTTCCATCTTTCCCATTCTTTGTCTCACTCCCTCCCCTCATTCTTTCCTCCCTTCTTTCTTCTCCCTCTCCTTCCTCTTTTCTTCTCTTTTCCCCCTCCCTCCCCCTCCCTTCCTCTCCCTTCTTTCCTCCCTTCATTTCATCCTCCTCCCCTTTTCTAATTTGGTTCAGGCTGGAAAGAACCAGAGATGTGGACCTTGTCCCAACACTTAGCTGCCTCCCTCTTTTGCTCTGGGGCATGTCACTGAGAAGCTTCTAGAAGGTCTTTGTTGTGATTCCTGACTGTGTGCAGAGCTGGAAAGCCTAAGACAGATGGGCTCCTCTCAGCACAACTTCTAAGGCCCCTTGATAGGTCTCTGCCTTTTGCTTTCAGTTTCAGCTCATAAAATAATGATGTAATGCACATTCCAGGGACTCATTTTCAGTCTAATTTTGGGCCTCTCTGCATGTCTTGTAGTTGGAGCCCCTGTGCCCTTTCTCCATAAAAATAACTTAAAATACGTTATGATCTCATTGATATACTATTAGTATAAAATTAGTATAGCAAAATTATTATTATATATTTAATCATTCTCCTAGAGCTAAAAGTTCATGTTTGTTTGTTTTACTCCATCCTTGTAGACCTTGGCCTGGTGCTTGCTCTGTACAGTGGAGAAGCTGGCCTCAAGTGACCAGAGCCTGCCACAATGCGATCATTATTGTTCTTTATTTTTACAAAAATGAGATCATGCTGGATGTTCCCCTGTGAACTTCCTTCACCATTAATATGTCGCAGCTGCTTCTACAGACAAAGACAGCCAAGTAGGAGTTGACTCTCGGTAAGAGGATCCATGGCTTTGAGTGGACGTTGTTCATTCACTCACCCCCATTTCCACCCTGATTCCATTGTCTGAAATGGCACTATAGTCACTCGCTGGTCATGGTGTCATCTGGAGAGCTGGAGAACTGACATCTAAAAACATGCCTCTGGTGATGGGTAGCAGTTGGTGGGGTGCTACAGTTGCTCACATCCATTCCTGATTAGTGTCAGACATGGAAAGTGACATGTCACATGCCTCCTGATTCTTTATCCTGTTCTAGCCTAACTCTCATCCTGCTTTACAGGATCCACAGGGCTCTCCTCCCAAATAGACAACTGTACCCACATCTTTGTCTACATACCACTGTTAGTGGGCATTTACATTACTTTTTGCATTACACAAATAATCCACTATATATATGATATATATGTATATATATGCATATTTATGGAGTCTAGCATTATTTGGATAGATGTATACTATGAGTGTGATGATCACATCAGGTTAGTGACTTTCCCCTTACCCTAAGTATTGAGCTTAGTTCAAAATGGGCAGCAAATCTCTGTTCACCACAGTCATCCTGCTGCACTGGTGCACAGTGGCACTGAGTCCTCTCCCTGCTTGGTATCCATTTTCTCTCTCCTCCTCTCACCCTTGGCTTCCCAGCCTCTGATGACCCATGTCCTACCCTCTTCCTCCATGACATTAACTGCTTTGTTTTTGTGGATTGATGTCTCTGTTTTTAAACCAAATTCTCAGTACTAGAAGGACTGGGTCAAGGGTTATGTGCTTGCTTTTGTTATCATTCAACAGCTACTGTCAGATTTCTTCTGCACAAAAGCCGAGCTGTTCCTAGCCTGCCAACACTGGGGTTTCCTTCCCTGGCTGCACCTCCATCTCCCTCTTAGTGTGTAGTGTACATATGGGGTGTAAACTCGGGTCTTCAGCCCTGAATGGCAGGTACCTGACCCGCTGAGCCTACCTCCCCCATCTTCTCTCTGTTTTTTGAGATTGAGCATTACTCTGTAACCCAAAAATGCCTGGAAGTTGTGATCCAGTTACCTTACACCCCCATACACAGTCCTGCTCTTCTGGGGTTAAATTTTTTGTCCCTCCTGCAGGCCAGAAAAGTTGTTCCATGTGGGAAAACACAGGCTGGAAACCACCACTGCAGCCAACAAAGACTTTCTACTTGAGTGGCCATGGGAGACTCAGGTTTGCTCTCATTTCAAAAGCATAGCTTTAAGACTCCAGAAACTTCAGTTTTGTTTGATTGCTTTTGGTCTTCATTTTAAAGTAATTCTCAGCTAGTAAAAAGAGTTGAAGGGATTCTGTTAAATGCTTATTCCAACATGAGATGTTTACTGGCTTTGCTTTATCTGAAAGACACAGGCACGTAACATTATGTAAATGCACATTAGACACACTTGTATGTGATCTATGACTTACGAATGTGCCTTTCTATTTTATTAGACATTTGAATAAGATCCCTACCAATTTCCCCTTTTTTCTTAATTGCCTAGTGCATCTTTTGCTAGGACAAGGTCACCCCATTGTATAATCACCCTATGTTTATCTACTAGGAAATTAACAGGCACTTGGGCATGGTGATCCCATGTACAGATCGCCTTTCCCAACATTATCTCTCAGTCCAGAAATTACACATTTTTCTGGGTCAGGCTCAAATCCAGGATGATGCATTCCTCTTCTTTCAGGAGCCTATGTCTTTAATTTCCTTTCATCTAGAATGTCCCTTGGCCTCACTCTGCCTTTTTTAACCTTGACATTTGTGAAGGCTCCAAGCCAATTACTGTGCAGCGTGTTCCTCATTGTGGGTTGGCCTGCCATTCCCTTATTACTAGATTCTTGTCTCACATCTCCCATGGGAAGATCAGAGACTGCTCCAGTCTCTCTTTGTCAGGCAAGAGGATGCTCAGTCTGTCTACCATGTCCCTCATTTTGATCATTTAATTAAGGTTGTGCCTGCCAGATCCCTCCACCTGTGATACTGGCATCTCCATGGGCCCCTCTTCTGTTGCTGTCCAATGACAATGTGCCAAGATATTTTGGGACCATGTAAATGCCTTGCTTCTCTTCAGACACCCTTTAATTTTAGATTCATTGAGGACTTTGCACTGAACTGCATGTTTTGGGGATGGCTGCAAAAGCCTCATTGAGAAGATTTTAAGCAATCATGTGTCAGGACCTACTACCTTAATTTAGAAGACTACACCTGAAGGAAACATGCCAAACAAAGATTCCAATCCAAAGAGTTCCATGTCAACACCTCATCTAAGATAACACAGTAGAATAACCAGAGTTGAGCCACATGTTAAATTGCTGTTGGGACACGACAGACAGTTTCTATCATAGAATGTTATGTGTTGGGAAAGATAATAAACTGTATGTGGCAGATTGCAATGTGGGGTTCTGGACTTGGTTCTGGGTCAGGGAGATGTTTTCAGTAAGTGTGTTGTGAAGTTCCTCCCTGACACAGGAGTTCACACACCCTGAACCTCTGAATCCTCTACCTCAGTCTTCAAGAGGGTTAGCATTGCAGGTACAAGCCCTAGCACCTCACAACTTGATGGAATTGCGAAAGAAGCCTGTAATTTCATTCATGGTAAGTACCAGCATTAATCAATACTGCACCATGGTCAGGTAAATGGCACATGAGCCTCCTCTACTCTGCCTTCACAGCGCTTGTAGAGATAGTTATTCCAAAATAAAAACACCACTAAAAACCTAAAGAGAATGATGGGAATTTCATTTTGATTACTGTGTTCGTTCTGTGGGTATAGAGAGTGTCCAGATACACCATATGTGTCTGTCCAGTTTCTTGTAAGCCGATTATTAATTTATTTTAACCTGCATTTTGACTGGGAGGATAATGGGTGTGCTTTGGCACACAACTGTAACCCAGTGCAGGCAAGACAGGGAGATCCAGAACTTGTCGGCCACCAACACCCTGAACCGGAAAGGCCCAGGTTTAGTGAGAGGCCCTGCCTACAAAAGAAGGTGGAGTGCAAGGGAGGAAGACACCTAATGACAACCTTATAGCAAACACACACACACACACACACACACACACACACACACACACACACACGCATGCACGCACACACGCACGCACGCACATGATTTAAAGAAGAATGCCTCCCATAGGTTCACATATTTGAATACTTAGTCATGAAGGTGTGGCACTATTTGAGAAGGATTAGGAGGTGTGGCCTTACTGGAAGAAGTGTATCCATAGAGGTGGGTTTTGAGGTTTCAAAAGCCTATTCCAGGCCCAGTCTCTCCCCTCCCACTCTCTGTCTGCCTATGTATAGGATGTAGCTCTCTCTGTCACTGGTCTAGCAC